ATAATATTCTAGCTGTAAAAGGTTCAAATCACAAACAATTTCTGACAATTCCCAGCAGTACTCATAACTCACTACTATTATGGAATATTGGACTATATAGGATTAAATTGCTGTATACAGGTACCAAAAATCTTTAGACTGGAAATCTTTAGCCTAAACAAGTAAATTCATCAAAAATGAAAAGGTCTTCTACAGTTCTCCAAACACAGCTCCTCCACCTGTGAACACCATCACTTATACAACTAAACAAAAAAGAGAAACGTTGAGAGTGGCTGAAGCTGGAAATTAACCATATGAGTGAGGGCAGGACACAGCCAGAGTGCCTCAAGCAGTCAAGCTGCCTCAGTCTTGAGAAAAACATTCCATCTAGACAATTTCAGTCATTAGTCACTAGGCAACCTTGTGTCTTGTGATACTAACCTTGCAAAAGTATAAATAAATGCCCCTACTGTTGTTGTTCAGTCCTCTTTCCCATCTGTAAGAGGCCTCCACCTGACCTCAGCTCTTGTCTCTTATCTTTATTTTCTAAATACCCCTGCCCTTTTCTCCTGGGGACCACCAAGAGACCAATAGTCCCAACAGGTCAATTCCCACAAAAGAAAAACAGAATAAGCTCAAATAAATAATGTTGAAACAAAGTTCTATAAAAAGAACAAGGTAAACCCAAATATCATATTAGGAAGGAAATTATAAAGATGAGAGCAGAAATTGATGCAATTGAGACTAATAAAATTTTTAAAAATCCATACATTAAAGAGTTAGCCTTCAAAAGATTAAATAGCAAACCTCATTAAAACAAGGAAAGAAAAGATCCAAACCCATGCAATTAGGAATGAAAAGGGAGAAATCAAAGAAGATCCTGCAGAAATCTAGAAGATCATCAGTACCCACCTTGACAGCCTGTACTCTAATAACAAGGAAAATTCAAAAGAAATGGATAGATTCCTAGATACATATGAATTAGCAAAGCTAAATCAAGAAGATATATGAACTCTAAACATTCCAAAATCAATGAAATTCAGGAAATAATTTAAAAACCTACTAACCAAGAAAAGCCCAGGTCCTAAGAGAGTCACTGCTCAATTCTCTAAGACATTTAGAAAACATCTAATACTATTACTCCTCAAACTCTTTAATAACACTGAAAAGGAAGCAAACTCATTACCCTGATACCAAGACATCTCCCTAAAAAGAGAGAGAGAACTACAGGCCAATAGAACAGCTCAGATAAACTACAAACCAGTAAAACAGGCCAAAAAACATACCTTCAAAAATCCTCAATAATTTGATCCTAGAATATGGAATGCAGCAAATCATCAAGATTATATACCATGACCAAGTAGGATTCATCCTAGGGATGCAGGGATGGCTCAACACTTGCAAATCAGCAAATATAATACAACACACTAACAGAACCAAGGATAAAAACCACATGGTCATCTCAATAGATGCAGAAAAAGCATCTGACAAAATCCAACACCCATTCAAGATAAAAACCCTAAAGAAAATTTTAAGAAAAAAATTCAAGAGAAGGTTCTTATCCCAACCTGATAAAGGCCATCTGTGACAAATCAACAGTCAACATCATCTAAATGGTCAAAACCTGAAAGCTTTTACTCTAAACTGAGGAACAAGACAAGGATGCCTACTCTCATCACTCTTGTTCAACATAGTTCTGGAAACATTATCCAGAACACATAGACATGAGAAAAGAATAAAAGCAATATGGGTAGAAAAGAAAGGACTTAAATTATCATTATTTGCTTGAAGACATGATATTCTAGATAAAACACCCAAAAAACTCCTAGATTTAATAAAGCAATTCAGTAAGGCATGATGACACACACCTGTGATTCCAGCAGTCGGGACACTAAGGCAGGAAGACTGCTGTGAGTTCAAGCCAGCCTAAACTACACAGTAAGATCCTATCACAAAAAAAACCAAGTAACAAAAAGAAAAAAAGGAAAAGAAAAGAACTTCAGTAGTATAGCAGGATGCAAAGTCAATGCCCCAAAATCAATAGTATTCCCTACATGAATAACAAACTCACTGGAGAGAAATTAAGGAATTAACACCTTTCATAGTAGCTTCAAGAAAAAGGAAATATCTAGGAATCAAGCTAACAAAGTGAAAGAACTTTACACTGACAACTACAGTACTCTGAAAAACGAATTAAAGAGGCTCTCGGAAAATGAAAAGATATCCTGTTCTTGGATAGCAGAACTAATATAGTGCAAATAGTCATACTTTCAAAACTGTTACACAGATTTGATGCAATTCCAATCAAAATACCAGTAACATTCCTCAGAACTAGAAAAAACATTCCTAAAATTCAGGAGCCAGAATTTTGGAACCAGAGGTGACACACAATAACAAAAGCAATTCTGGACAATAAAAGCAAGGTGGGGAATAACGCAATCCTCAATTTGAAGTTAGGCTACCATGATAAAAACAGCATTCAGTTGGCAAAAAACAGACTCAAGGATCAATAGAACACACAGACACAATTCAAAGCACACTCAGGCACTTAATCTTTGACAAAGGGGCCAAATACCCTCACTGGAAGAAAGACAGCCTGTTTAATAAACAGTGCTGGAAAAACAGGCTTTCCACATGCCGAAGATTAAATCTAGATCCCTATCTCTCACAATGCACTAAACTAAAATTGAGATAGAGCAAAGATCATCTGCTGGAAGATCAAATAGGTAAAACTCTTGAAGAATTAGGTATAGGCAAAGATTTCTTGAACAAAACCCAAATTACATAGTGCAATGAATAAACAACTGGGATCATATCCTGTTGAAAAGCTTTTACACAGCAAAAGAAGCCACCAACTGAGTAAAAAGGCAATCCACAGAACAGAAAAAAATCTTTATCAGCTACTCCTCAAAGAACTAACATCCAGAATATATGAAGAACTTAAAAAATCACACTCCCTCAATTTAAAGACCCAGTCCAAAAATAGCCATGTGAAGTAAATAGTTCTCAGATGAAGAAGTGCAAATGGCAAATAAATGTATGAAAAAAATGCTGAACTTCACTGGTCATGTGAGCAATGTAAATAAAAACAACATGGAGGGTCAGGGATATATAGCTCAGTGGCACAGCTCTGAGTTCAATTTCCAGTAACAAAGAAAGAGGGAGGGAAGGAGGGAGGGAGGAAGGAAGGAAGGAAAAAAAACAAGACAGAGAGTCCATCTCACTCCAGAAATGGTTATCCTCAAAAAAATCAACCAATATCAAATGCTGGCAAGACTGTGGGGAGAAAGGAACCTTCACCCACTGCTGGTAGTAGTGCCATTGGTTTGACCACTATGAAAATCAGTGTGGAGCTTCCTCAAAAAAAAACTAAAACTAGAGGTTCCACTTGACCCAGCTATTCCCCTCCTTGGTATACTCCTGAAAGAGTTAAAAGGATAATTCCACAGTGATATATGCATAATCATATTTATAGAAGCACAATTTATAAATACCTAAATCTTGGAAATAGCCCATATATTAAAGAGGAATGAAAATAAAAAAACAAATACAAAACAAGTTTCAAAATGATGAACCTAATTGAAACATGTCAACATTTAAACAATTTTAAAGCATACGAATGGCTATCTTAGTTACTTTTCTCATAGCTGGGATAAAATACCCTACACCCACAAGTTAAAGGAGAAAAAGTTTATTTCAGCTCACAGTTTGTACAAGTTTCAGTTCATAGTCAGCTGGCTTCAAAGCAGGACAGCATGGCAGAAGGGCATCATAAGGGAAAAACAGTTTATGAAGTGGCAGGTAGGAGGCAGCAAAGCAGTGGCCTATCTTCTTTCTGTCTCTTCATATTCCAACCAGGCTATAAGCCTACTGATTGGTGCCACCCACACCCACTCTTTACTCATTAATCATACAATATACTAGACATTATGCTAGGTAAGGAGGAATCTAAATCATAAAGTCTTAAGTAATTATACTGAAAATAAATTAATGTCATTTGTGGTAAATGTTGTACAAGAAATATTCAAGGTGCTATGGAAATAAGCCATATAGAGACTTAAATCTAGCCTTGTCTATTAAGAGAGGCTTCCTAAAGCAATGACATTTAAGCACAGAATTATATAAGTATGCATTACCAAATGTTAAATCAACGTAAGACATTATTGTAAGTCAGAAAAGTTAAATTAATTCAGTGGAGAATGAATGCTTTCTAAGAGACAAAAGAACTAGGAGTTGCAAATGAGATAGGTAAACACAAAATCCAATGTCTATAGTCATAAACAATATTGTCCCCTATACAATAGGTCAGTAACCACAGCTGGCAAGACAAGTTCAGCCTACAGTATCTTTTGTAGATCTTTGGGCTAAGAATGGTTTTTACGTTTTTATACGGTTAAAAATAAAAGAGAAGCAAAGGAGGTAAAAGCAGAAGAAAGAATTAAAGCAGATCAAATATAGCCCCCAAATCTAAAATATTCACTGATCTTCTGTAGAAAAACTTGGCAGGTAGGGGCTCTAGTTTAGTGGTAGAGCCTGATCTAGCATATGCAAGGCCCTGGGACTGCTATGGAGTGCACGCACATGCATATACACACGCACTTGCTAACCCATGTTCTCCACATTGTAATCAATTAAAGTATAATAAAGCTTTATCCTACAAATTCAGTACACACCTGAACAGTACTTTTCAGTACTAAATAAATATGCCAGCTTTTTCAAAATTGGATCCTTGTGATACAGCACCCAAAAGTACTAAATTTACAATCGCTACAGAATACATAAATACATGTTAAATCTTATTAAGTGTGCTATCAGCATACATTTAAATAATATGAACACTTTGATGAACAGTTAACAAGATGTATAAAAATGGATAGATATTATAGCTTTACTTATAATCATTTTTCAAATTTTAGGTGAAAAGCAGTATGAAACATTTATATTGTGAGGTTCTAATTCAGTGGACTCAATACTGTTTTGAAAAGTAATTCCCATATATTAACAGGAAAGACCATACTTACTAATTCTTTTTTCAATTCTTCAACTTCTACTTCTGTGTTATTTTTAAATTTAGTCATCTCTTCTAAAAAGCAAAAGAATAAATATGTGTTAAAAGCTGCATTAAAAGAATAAGGTGAGAAAGGAAATTAAGCTATCTGAAGGGAGAAAAAAAATCAAGACATACATCAATGTAAGTACAGCACTGTAAAGCATAAAAGCAGCATATAGGGAGTCTAAAGCAGCCATACAAAAGTAAAATGGCAATAACAACTTTATAAAGTTAATCCTATAGCCAAATGAGTACAAAATTCATAAAGTAAAATAAGCAATAAGTCTACATAAAATATATTTGGAACGAGGTCAGCTAGTGCCTTTACCTTTAATTTATCATTATCTGAACGTACCTAACCTCTTAATCTTTACTCCAAAAAGTGATCTTTTCTGAAGCTGTTAACAGTGTGCTTTGGATTTTGACATCCCCATCTCTTTCACTCCTCAGCTGCTATATTACCAATACACACTCCAAGTAAAAAAAAAATTTATTTCTATTTTACCTAAATATCCCATTTGAATGTAAAACAGAATTATGTAATTAACCTTCCTACCCTTTCAAACTATTTTCAGATTTCTCATTTTGTTTCACAAACTCCTGTTTGTCGACTACATGTCTCTTCCTCACAAAACTAATGCCTATCTCCATGATATTACTAAAAAATTGTTCTCAAAGATCAACAATAAACCAGGGGTGGTGGTACACATCTATCATCAGCATGAGACTAAGGCCAGAGGAGCACAAATTCAAACCCAGCCTAGGCAACTTAGAAAGACCCTGTCTCAAAACATTAAAAGGAGAAAAAAGAGCTGGGGATATAGCTCAGTGGGAAGGTGCTGGGTTCAATCTCTAGCATCACAAAAAAAAAAAAAATCAGTAAGTGTAATGTGATATTGTCTTGGTTACTTTTCTCTCGTTGCTGCAATGAAATACCCGACACCCAGAACTAAAGAAGGAAAGGTTTATTTAGCCCACAGTTTGTCAAGGTTTTCAGTACAGGCTCCAAGGCAGAGTGGCACATGGCACAGGGCAACAATTCATGGTGGTAGAAGACAGCAAAAGCAGCAAGAACAAAAGGGAGGAGTGGCAGCAAGCAGCCTCTTTCTCTCTCTTACATATGCAAATTTTCCACCCCAGGACGCATATAGCACTCACACCCCTAATCCCATCACTGGATCATGGATCAGTCATAAACTCTAAAAGCCCACCCCATGACTGCATGAGGCTTTGGGGGCACATCCAGACACAAACCATAACAGGTATTATCCTCAGTCTTCATCATTATGGAGCCTGGTAGTATCTGATACCATTAAACATTTCCTACTTTTTTTCCTTTGATTCTAAAGATCCTGCATTACTGATTTTTTGTATTTCTACTTTACCTCAAACTCCTCTTTGTTAACACATGTCCTTCTTGCTGCCCTAAATAATAATGCTTTAGGATGCTTCTCTATACTTCCATGAATTATGTTAATGAAGTGAAAATTTTATAGCCCAAATCTCTCATTTTTTTCTCTTTTCTTACATTTTTAACTGCCTACAGAAGAAAATATATTGTCTAAAATACTGGCTCTCTTTACTGAGTTATTAATTACTGGAAATATAATAATCACTAAAACTCTCTCTCGCTGTCCATTCTAAAGTAACATTTGTAGTAACTGTCCACCATCTTTAAAAAAACAATTGCAAAACATGCAGTGTCAATATTGAATCTAAAAGAAAAACCTGTCACATATAAAACGATCAGCAAGTTTCATTTCAGATAAAAATAATCTTTAAAAACTTGAGGACTGGTTTAAGACAATGGACTGAGAAATTCTACATTCTCACCTTAATCCCATAAAATTAGAGAAAAGATAAAAGAAGAAAAAAAAAAAAAAAAAAAGGAAGTAACATTACCAAAATAAGACAGGACAACAATTCATGGTGGTAGAAGACAGCAAAAGCAGCAAGAACAAAAGGGAGGATCCTTAACAAACCAGGTAACTAAAGAATTCTTGTTGGTAGGGGGTCTTGCATTAATTCAATGAGGCTTGTGGAACAACCAGACCAGGGAATCACACCCTCCTACCACACAAAGTATATCTCAGTTTAAAGCAAAAATTCTGGGAACTAGGACCAAAGACACTATCACGTCCCAAATAGCTCATAATCCCCAAGCAAGATAAACATCCCCTGTACCAGTGGTGGTAAAGCTACACAAGCATACCACAGTGTCATTGAAAGCACTAACAGCTTCACATCACTGCCCTATACCAAAAGACAAGCTACCAAGCCTACCTCTCCTTCCAGTACCTCTTGTGAGTTCCCATAATCAAAGGAATCATATTACAATACACATGAGTGAAGACGGATTCTCAAATGCTTAGCTAACTGAATCATCAGGTACCAACAACTTGAGAAGAAAAACCATGAAAGAGGCTCCGGTCGGGCGTGGTGGCGCACGCCTATAATCCCAACGCTTGGAGGATCTTTGAGAGTTTGAGACCAACCTGGGCTACAAGGTGAGCTCAAGGCCAGTCTGAACTGCATACTGAGACCCTATCTCAAAAAAAAGAAAAAAGGCTCCAAATTCAACTAAGAGAAAAACTAAAATTCAAATAGAAAAGTTAACAGCAAAGAGAGCAGTATTTTGCTAAGCATAATACCCAACAGGATAGTATGCCTCAGGTTACCTAGAGCTCTTGGGAACTCAAAATTTGACAGGAGAATTCAAAATAGTGAAACAGAAACAGTTAAAGAATAATTAGCAGGGGAGAAGCCAGAAAACCATCTCCCCATATTTAGGAAAAAGAATAAAGAGAGAGGAAGCATAAGAAAAAGGTTTTTAAAAAACTCACATGAAGGGTACATACAGAATTTCCAAAGTCTCTCCATCAAGAGCTCCTGCGAACAGTACGATTTAAAAGAAAGAAGGAAACAACAGGAAGAAAACTTTTTGGAGTAAAAAAAGAACTATCTTTGGATTAATGAGCCTCTCAGAAAAGGCAGCAAAATAGTCATATGATTTCTATTTTTAAATGATATTCTTTCATTCCTGGACCACTCAAGCTGCAATTCCATTTGTCTGCTTCCACTCTTTCCCTCATTAGCTACCTACCACCAAATTTACGTGCATTATATAAGATATAGGGAGGCCTAAAAAATCATACACCAGATTGCATCATTCCTTTATTTAGTATCTTTCAATAGTTTCAGTGTTAGAATAAAATCAAAATTCATTTTTTGAGCTTACCTAAACAGTCTCCCTGTATTCCTATCGATTTCTCTCCATATATCACTTCTTATACTCAGCTGCAAAGACTTTCAGTCACTTAAATGAAGTGAGCTTCTTAACACCTCAGAGCATTTATAAGTATTTTTCCCGTACTGAAAAGTTCTCTCCAACTCCAAGCCTTATCTAACATTTTAAATCTCACTTATTTTTTTAGTTCTCAATGGAAGGTGACACCTGATCAAGAAATCTAAATTGGGCTCTATTTATTTTTTTTTGGTTTTTGTTCTTGATTTTTCTGTTTTGTTTTGCTTTGTTTTGTTTTGTTTTTGAGACAGAATCTTGCTGTGCAGTTCAGGCTGGCCTTGAACTCACAGCAATCCTCCTGCCTCAACCTCCTGAGTACTAAGATTACAGGAATATGCCACCACATCCAACCCTCTAGTATTTTCTTACATTGCACTATTTTTATTTCTTTCAAACACTTAGCTCAATTTATAATAATTTGTGACTGTTTTATGTATTTCCTAAGTAGAGTGCAAACCTCATGAGAAAAGGGAAAACAATGTCTATTTTGTTCCTCATAATACACACACAGCTAAATCAGGAATAAGTAAGTCTGAGCCCAATCACTGTATTATGTATCTGGTAATCAAAGCAGAAGCATTTTGACACACTTAAGGCAGAGTATATTACATAGCCAGATTAAAAGCAAAAATGAGTGTAGAAACAGAAAAATGATCACAGCAGGTGAGAAAAATGACCATAGTAATAAGACCTGTTTAGAGCAATATTTAGACTGCACTGAGGATAAGAGGAGACATAAATGTAGCAAAGTGAATGGCAGCAAATAAAAAAACTGGGAAACCAAGAGCCAAAAGAATTCTCTCCTGAAAGGGCAGATAAGAGGGAGGGAGGGAGGTAAGGAAGGAGAGTGTGAGAGGGGACGTAGGGAAGGAATCATTTGACAAAGATTTTATATTACAGTTAGCTTTAACTTACTTTGTATGCACTACCCTTACTCTTCAAAGCACCAATGAAATGGCAGCTAATATTGAAGAGCTGAAACTTGGCAATGAGACAGCTCTTAAATTTGCAACAAAGAATAATCAGACATGTATTTTTAAACAATGTTCTAGCATCAATATAGAGAATGGGCCAAAGGTATATAAAACTGGAAACAGACTAATTTTCAAACTTCTGCATTTAGTACTGGTCTGACATGTCTGGTCCAGCTCTAACAAGATATAAAGAGAAGAGCAATGCTGTATCAGAGCAGTGAATAGATAAAAAGTGGTTTTCAAATTGAGATTGCTGAAGGGATGATGAAGAAACACTATAACCACAAATGTAAGCCTAAGAAAATACCATCAAAGGCAAAAAGTAAAGTTTAGTCAGGAAGTAAAACAGTAAAAATGAAGACTACTAGGGTAAGAAACCTACCCAAAAAAAGGTAAAGCAAGTAAAAGCTGAGTAAATACAGTGAAGGAATAGTAAATATGAAGACAAAGTAACCTCAAGCAGCTTGAATGACTACTCTGATACAGTTTGTGTTCCATACACATGTATGTTCACATACGTGCTGTACTAAGCTAAAAGCATGTGCTTAAATTCGAAAACTGAGAAAATAAGAACGAACTGTTCAAACAAGAACGAACTGTTCTGGGTCTGTGAATATAAAAGAAAAGGAAAAGATTCAAAAGTTTTGGCATATACCTGTAATTTTAGCACTCATGAGGCTGAGGTAAAGAGGATCGCCACAAGTATGAGGCTAGCCTGACCTACATAGTGAGACCCTGTCTCAAACCTCCCCCTCTCCAAAAGAGTAAGACAGAAAGACAGACAAAAAGAAGACCGAAGTTATTTAAAGATAAGCACGGCACCATACACTTGTAATGCGAGCTACTTGGGAGGCTGAGGCCAAAAGATCACAAGTGCAAGGCCAGCTTGGGCAATTTAGTGAGACCCTGTTTCAAAATAAAAAATACATACAGCTGGGCACACAGAGTGGGAGAGTATCCCGAGTCCAATCCCCAAAAACAAGAAAAAAGAAGTTATTTAATAGTTAGGAACTCTCAAATTAGTTGTACTTTATAAATTAGATAGTAAAAATTAGAAATAGATTGAATTGTTATAGATAAACATCCAATGCAGATATTTTAAGGAGCACAATTACTCCTTAGTTTATAACGTTAACCAATTCTAAAGAAAATAATATGCAGTGGTTTAAAACAGTACTTTATGCTATGATGAAAGATTTTTAAAATTTTGAATGATAATGAGTTAATCAACAATGGAAAATTAAGCATTTCAAAAAGAAAAGCACACATATGGGTGAACAAAATAGCCTCTTTTTTTTTTTGCCTTTTTGAGACAAGGTCTTGCTGTGTAATTCAGACTGGCCTTGAACTCACTATGTAGCCCTCCCGCCTCAGCCTCCACAGTGCTAGAATTACAAGCACCTACCACCATGCCCAATTAACAGCCTACTTTTGAAAGGTTAAGTAAACATTTCAGATATGAAGTAATACTAGTTGTAATTAATTATACACAGATTCAAAGCTAACAACAAAGCTTGTAGAACATTGTGGAGATATTCTAGAAAAATACCTATCAATTCATAAAATTTCTTTATAAAAATAATTGTTTTTGTTGGAGTTGAAAAAATGTATTTTGTGTCTTTTTAATTCTCTACATTTGTAGGTATGTACATTTGTAAATATTAAGCATAGATCATTAGAATTAGCAACTGGTCATAAATTCACAAAATAATTACAGGCCCTCTTCCTTTTGATCATGAAAGTTGTTACATATTAACAATACCAAATGGTAACACAGGATCACATTTTCCTATTGTAAGTAGTTATTACTCCAATAAGATTGAGTCATGAAATTTTAAAATTTACTTAAAATATAGCATACACTTCTCACTAAGAATTATTAACACCTCTTAAGCTACCTACTGAGATACTTCTCAGTATGAACTATGTAATAAAACTGAAATGTTCAAAATTTAAATTTTCTCTACTCAATTATGTTCTTCTAATTAGCCAGTATTATCAAAGTATACATCATTGTCTAAATCTTACCCAGCTCACTGGATCTCTTCTGAAGCTCCATAGTAAGTATTTTCAGTTGATCTTCATTTTTTTCCAATCTTGTAAAATATGTTATATTACAATGTAAAATGTTTTGATCAAAATTCATCTACCATAAAAACTAAAACTAGTACAATTTATCAACTGATATATCTTAGCAAAAAAAATCACCCAATTATAGTATTAAATATATACTGAGTACTTATTGTATATAGTATAATATTTTTAAGAAATAACTATAAAAACTATTATAAATAACTATTATAAATATGTAACTTCATATTAACTACATCTACATAAAACCTTAAGGCTTACTGGTTATAATTTCTTTACTGATAATCAAATTAATGCATCTTAGAATTTAAAATAAATAAATAAATAAAAGGCACTGGGGATATAGGTCAGTGGCACAGCATCGGCCTAGCAAGAATAAATATGTAACTACTACTAAATTCTACCTTGCAAATACCCCATATGTGACAATATGTATCATTTTCTTGACTCCTCTGACTCTATTTCCTCAAACTATAAAATGGAAGTACTGGACCAGATGAATCTAAGATAATTTACCATTCTGAAATTTTAAAATCTGCATAGATCAGTAAAGAATGTGTAAGATTAGCATAGCTAGAAAAGCTAGCTTTTCCTCCCTCTCCATGCACAAACAATGGATAAGACATGCTGGTAGGCCTAGACCCTGTATAGAGAAAAATACTTTTTACTCTACTAAAATTAACCCCGATACTAATGGACAAAAATAATTACCTCAGCCTCACAACAGCTTGATATGAATACTTCCTTAATATAAAGTCATAAATAACAGAACCAGGCCCTAACACTCAGGTTTTTGACTGCTACTTAGATGAAATGCATATATCCTATGTTATATACAGTTAAGCATGGTCATTAATTTAATAAGCATAGAGTACTATGTATTATTTTCCAGGATAGTTGCTAAATTTTTAACTTTAAATTTTAAATTAATTTAAATTTAATTTAAAATTCAAATTTTAAATCAGAAAAAAAGTTACAGACCCCAGTAAAATAAACTCCCAGCCTAGAACTCCTATAAAGCTAAGAGTAACATATAACTTCAATAAATAAATGTCATACCACTGCATCAGCACTTAAGAACCAGCCTTTATATCTTGAGTTTATATAGCAAAGCATGTATGAGAACTATTCTAGAGATTACCTGCTTTTAAATATTTTCCTATTATACCTGCCTATCTAATACAAACTTTTGAAATGTATTCCTACTTTTGGAAAAATCAGTAAGTATTCCTACTTTACACATAAAAAGAGCAATGAATAGAAATGGCACTGAGTATTAGAAGTCAATTTGTATTCATTTGATTTTTAAATAAAAAATATTTCACCTTTGTTGTTCTGTTCTTAATAATTCCTCTAAGTTACAGATAGTAGTTTTAAGTTCAGTAACCACAAATGAATGAGCAACTTTAGCTTTATTAAATTCTTCCACTTGAGCTTCTTTTTCTTTAGTGAGTTCACATGCTACTTGTGCTGCTCTCTGTACATCTTCTTCTAAAGCCTTTTGAGTACTCTAAATGAAGAACAAAAGCAATGAGCCAAGGGCCTTAAGAAAAAAACTCATCCATTTCTGTAAATTTGCTGCCCCTTCCTGCCCTGTACTTTGTCCTATCCATCATCCCTTCTTAGTCACCCAGGAATATCAACACACTACTTTTACCTCAATTTACCATTCTCCAAATCTCATGTATAGTTCCAATTCCTCCTTAAAATCTTCCCATGCAACCCAACCCATAGAGTTCTTTTAATTCTTAGAATTGTTTTTAGCAATTAATTAGCCTGATTCACTCTTTTGGTACCTAGGTTAATCTTGTATTTTAGTTAATACTTTTGATGTGCTTTCATCCTAATCATTTTGTAAACTGAAATTTTATCTTCCCTAATTGAAGCTCATTTTGTGAACTGAAACTGTATCTTCTCTAGTTGAAGCTCTGGATTCTTGAACATGGTTTTAGTACTCAGTAAATTTGTTCATTAATTGATAGTGTGCCATATTACACACTAGTCAATTTTTAAAACATACCATACTTATTTGCAAGGACATTTTAATATCTTCTAGTTCAGATGCCAAAAGATTCTTCTTCTCATTTGATTCTTCTAAATTTTCATCCTGTAATTCTAAAGAAGAAAATTCAACATAGGTAGTACTTAATAGAAAATACATAGCAAAAATCTAGTCACTATTTGTTAATGATTACTTTTTTCCTCCATTACACAATGGTCTAAAATGAGACAGAATTGTGTGAATATAGACATATTAAATATTGATAGCCATAAAACTTTGTTGGGGAGAGATTCAAATATCTTATTTCAGTTAATGCAGACCTTCTCTCTCTACCTGCCTGCACTGCATCAGAACTGCAAACGGTGGCCAGAAAATGAGCAGATAAAGAAGATAATGGAATATGGCCAATGATTTGGGAACAGAGACTTTCTATTAGACAATAGTTCAGGTAAAATTCAGAGAAACACTAGGAACTAGTCAAGCTAATTTCATTAGAAAATAATTCTAAATTATTTGTTTGATTTGATGAGTTGGTTTAATCAAAATAATTTAAAACTGTTCTAGAAGCAGAAACTATTTTGGATACTACACAACATACTAAAAAATAATATACTGACACCACGATATCATTAATAGAAAAAAAACATTAAAATGAATGTGGATTTCCTTGACTGACTTACGATGAACACTTTTTTCTGTACCTTTTTGTCATTTGTGTACCTTGTTTTGAGAATGTCTTTTTAGGTTCTTTGCCACCATCAAACTTTATTAACTTTTCAAGATTATTACATTCCAAGAACTCAAAGATGAATATTCAAACTACTTAAATATTATATATAACTCTAACAGAATCAAAACAGCATATAAGAGAAATCAAACTTGGCAGGTGAATTAACAGATTATCCCTTATATGTATTTGTTTGTCTATCTCTCCTTATTGATAATGTGACCTATTATACACTAGTCAGTTTTTAAATCATATCACACTTTTTGCAAGGAGATTTTAGTATCTTCTACTTCTAACGCTTCTAACTGATTCTTCCAAGTCTTGGAGGAGAGGGGGAAATAAAGGCCAACTTGGAAATGTATACACAAAAATATCCTTTATGGATTAAGATAAATAAGCAAATACCAGACAAAACCTAAGAGTTCACTGTCTCACTAAACAACATTCTTTTTTTTTTTTTTTTGGTTTTTCTCCAGTACCGGGAACCAAACTCATGACCTTGCGCTTGCCAGGCAAGCCCTTTTGCCACTGAGCTAAATCCCCAGCACCTTAAATGACATTCTTTAAGCTAGAAAAGTAAAAGTTTACACTGTAAAGAAAACAAGAAAAATAATAAAAAGAAGAAAGGAAGAAAACTACATGGGTAAAACCACATAAACATTGTCTGGACAAAGTAATAATAAAAATGTTTAGTCTACAGAATGAAAAAGAGAAGAGGAGGGGATTAAATGGAATTAACGACCTACTGTGCTTGAATAGCCCAAGAAGAAGGTAAATGTACCAATTAGCTTTACACTTTCATAAGTAACTAATCTAAATGTAATTGCTTACAAAAATAGAAATACAGTAACTTTCAAAGTAGTCAAGGAAAAATTTTTTTAAAAAATGAAACTAGTACTTCACTTCTGGGAATATTAAGTAGATGTTCTCAAGTACAATAGAAAACTCTTGACAATATATGCAAAAAAATGTAAGACTGAAAGACAGGAGGTAAACCAGCTGGAGCCCCCCCCATCCCTGATAAACAACATAATAAAAGACCCTTGTTGAATATGAAGGGGTAATATGGAGTACTTTTCAGGTTTTTGTTTTCAGGAGACTTTTTCGTTTTGTCTTTCTGTCTTAGTTTTGTTTTGAAGGTTTCTTTTTTTATTAGGTTTTAGTTGGTTGGTTGGTTTCTGCCTCACATATCACAGAATTATTTTCTTTTCATACCACAGAATTAGAGTTAAAGAAGTCAGCAACTTGGAAATACAAGTAGGCACAGACAAAAAAAAAAAAATGCTCCAATAAAAATCTGACCTCTGGCCAAAGGATTAGGAAAAGGAGCAGCCCCCTAAGACTACACCAACCAAACACCACAGAAAACTAAATTGTGTGCTGTACTCCACACTATAATAAAAGTCAAATAGGTACCCTAAACATACTATTACATCACCAATGATAAAGCACTATAATCCCCATAACCAAAGTGGTGTCAGAGAAGATTAAATGGCTGAATCATCTCCACTAGCCAGGAGTGAGCTACTCCCATAGTGGTTGCAGAGATTACATGGGGAGTCTGTATATCCCCCAAAATGCATTAAAAACAAAGCATTGCTCATATATCACACTGGGATATACCCAGCAAGGCCTTGAACAAAGCCCTCACTTTTATGAAACCCAGAAGGAATGAAAACTCCCCCACTTGGTATCACTGGAGACCACATAGGGAAACACAACTCCTAATCAACTCAGTAGGAAGAAATAACTAACCAAGCAACAAAGAATCCCCCTTTTGGTGACAACCTAGACCAAATAGGAAACCTGGATTTCTACCTGGTGGTGGATTAAACTAATGGTCAACTTGTAACACTTAACTGAACAGAAATTAGCATGGTGCTGGGTATGGTGGCCCACCTGAGGACTCTTCCCAACAATATAAAAATAGAACTGGAGGGGAAGATGGTGTGCTGTTGATTCTTGTGGAGAAACTTGTCACACCAGTCTTCTTGATATGAGCTCAGCTGTTATCATCATCAGAGGAGCTCCGGGTCCTCACTGTCACTGAGGATGGCTATGATTTTTCGGGGGAAAGCTCTGGTCCTTACCTTGACCATTGCTTCCTGGCTCCAGTGCAGATCCCTCAGCCTACTGATACAGATCCTTCATCCCACTGGTGCAGACCTTCTAGCTTCTACCACTGACCTTTGGGCCTTACCAGTATATTTCTTTGATACAGACTTGCATGAGACATTGTTGCAGGCTTTAGGCCTCCAACTGGACTCATGGAGGACACTGCTATGGGCTCTAGATCTTCAGATGGACTAGTGCAGGACACTGCCTTTGGATCCAGGATCTCAGCTGGATTCTTTGAGTCTCTATTGTGTGGACAGATTTCCCACAATCTTTTGAACTGGCTCTTTGGGTGAGTATCATAAAATAATGCCATGCTTATATGTCCTGTATTAAATCTTATTAACCTGGACTACAGTAAGATCAGTTACCAAAATATAGAAATTATAAATGTGTGCACACAAATAACAGCTGCAAAATACATGAAGTATTAGAATTGAAAGAAGAAACATAAATCTACAGTCTATTTGGAGACTTACAACACAGCTCTCTAGATAACTCAAAGAAAAATTAGAAAATCAAGATTACAGAAGAATCAACACCACCAAACAGAATAAAAGACTCCTCAAAAACACCCACATTCTAATTCCTAGAATCTGTGAAAATGATACCTTCCATACATACAAAAAAGGTATTGCAAATGTGAAAAAGGATACTGAGATATGAAGATTTTTGTTTTACATTTTATTCAGGTAAGCCCAACAAAATCATGAAGGACTATCTACAAGACCAGCAGGAAAATAAATATGACAACGTAAAAACTAGTTAAAATTATGTTCGGGTCCACAAGCCAAGGAATACTACAGGTGGCCTCCAAAAGCTAAAAGAGGCAAGGAACAGATTTTCTAGAAGTCAACAGTAAGAATAAAGATATCATAAAGGCTTCAAGTTATGATGAAATTCTTCAAACTTCTCAGCTCCAGAACTATATAATAAGTTAGTGTTATTTTAAGCCATTAAGTTTGTGGTAATTTGTTGCAAGCATCAAAAAAAATAACGACTATTAACATTTATAGAACGTTCTTCTCTGTAACTATATTACCCTGAATTCAACAGATCTCACCTGTACAAAGAAGCTGAATAGGGTCAAGCTAGTAAGCACCTGGATGAGAGAACACTCTTCCCAATAACAGCAAGACCCGTAGTTTTTAAGTGCCTCAAGAAAATGTAACAACATGCAATAAAACAAACCAAGGTGAGACCTAAAACAATTCCCAACAGATGTAAAAGAATTGAAATCCTACAGCTTATGTTGCCTCACTACAGTACAATCAAACTAGAAACCAATTAACAAAGGTAATGGGAAAATATTGGCATGCCAACTTCTGAAAATCACAAGGATTAACAGTGAGCCACTACAAATATAAAAGAAAATTAAGTACTTCAAACATACAATGGCACAGGGTAAACATTTCACATCCAAAAGGGGATAAAAGAACAGAAATCAGGGCAAATATTAAATCCTGGAACTCCATGTCTAGTATTCAAAACAGACTACATGCAGGGAGATGTGAGCTCCAAAGGGCATGGAAAGCCCCACTGCTGTGGCACTGAAGACTGCAATACATGGCCTCTCTCTTGCCTAGGTCCACCAACTGCCTGAACTATTCCTTATAGCAGGAATTCCATGTTCTGGATATCCCCAACTTCCCAGAATCTCAAGTGAGCCCTCAGTTTCACTCTTAAAGCTTTACACACTTCCCCATCATAGGCACACTTTCCGGTTTCCTAGGACTTCCTTGAAACCTGAGTAGAGTCTACAGCCATACCACCCTGAACACACCCAATCTCACTTGAAATGAGTAGAAGCCTCCCCAACCCCACAACTTTTGCATTCTCTATGCCAGTAAAACTACCAACACATGAACAATGCCAAGATCTCCTGTCACTGAAAGCAGGAGCTGGACCCCCTTGGAACAGGGCTGCAGCTGCCTCCAAGTGATGGCTAAACACCGAGAAATTAATCCCAATGAACCAATTCCCTAGATGGCCCTTTTCAAGCAAAGTGCCCCGGGGCTTTCTTTTCAAAGCAAAGTCTTTCAAAGGAGTTTACCTTCACTATTTTACACCCTTGAGACTGGAAAGGGTGGTGTCTAGCATACTTCACCATGTCTTTAAGCCATCTTTCCTAGTATTCTGATGAAAAGCATCTGGCTTCTTTTAAATGCTAATTTCAGCAACCACACTCTCCTTTGCCTCAACTTCACAGATACTTGCTTTCCAGTCAAGCTTCAGAATCATTTTTTCTGATTTCTCAACAAGAAAAATGACTAAGAAAATTGGTCACAACATTCTTAGTTTCTCTAGCCAGCATCACCAAACTTTTTCAAACGCTTGCAAATCAGTTCCAGATAGAGTCACAGCTATGTTCCCCCAGCAATGTCAGGGCATAAAAAATTACACATCAAAGCTGAAGGACCAACCCCAAAACATTAGACACTGACTCGAATTGTGTGATGTAGATTACTCTTTCTGCATCTCTCTCTCTGCATATTTAAGAGGTGATTTCAGGCCTCCTACCTAGCCCAGCTCAGGGCACTCGCTATACCTCCCATACTTCCCACCACCCTCACAGTCACTCATGCCTGAGCCACTCCACTCTTCAGGAATTAATGAAACCTGGGTTCGGGGTTGAGGCCTTTGTTCCAGTTAGCCATCATACTAGCTGGACTTAGCACCCCCTTGGCTCCCCACAACTACAAATATGCCTTACTGTCTTTACTCTCACCATGAATTGCACTGGAAGTGGTAGGCTGGAATTAACTTATTAGAGTTTCAGTAACTTCGACATGAGATTACGAAAAGGATTTTTCCAGGCCACAATGAGGTCTAGAAGGGCTTTCTATGTGTTATGCCTTTCAAACATCCAGTCACTTGAACAAGTTTAAAAATATTCAATAAGATAGTCTAAACATGCCATGACATTTAAGGTCCATTATAAATGGATTCACACATTCTTTTACAGTCTTATCTGCCTGATTTCTGTAAGATACAGGCACACTATTAACCAAATAAACCCTTAATTTCACATTTCTACAACTTACACAAGCCATTTATTCTTCCAATATGGCATCCTCGAATTCTCTGCCTAAGGAACTACTAATCATCTAACATATAAACATATTTTTTTCTAGTGCCTTTCAAAGTGTCTTACTCTAACTTCTTTCATGCTGTTCCCATAGGACTTACTTATAAAATATTTGTTCAGTACTTCATAGGCTTCAGGCACTGTTCTAGGAACTTGAAATGCATCAGTAAACAAAAAAAGACATAGATCCTTGTCTTTTTGAAGCACACTGTTGAAACTTTCAAGAAGGTTAAAGGTATGGAAAATTTTTAAAAGATGAGTTTACAAGGGACAATCAAAAACTAGTGTGTGTGTAAATTTTTTTGAAGTATAATTATACATTATACACCCAAAATACTCCCCCTTTAAATACTTATTCCACTGTTACTGTTATTTTTTTAAAAAACTTCTCGAAGTCCTCTGTCACGTTTTTTACTACAATAAATACCTTTTTTAATGACTTTCAGAATGCTCCCCTAGTGATTCCATTATGCCTCCTTCCAACTGATCCAACCTAGGCTGAGGATTACTAGCAAGTATTACAACAAAACTTAGAATGAAACCCAAAATTGAGAATAGGAGAAATACATAAGACATATTATTACATTTTCTTGTATAAATTCTTACTTGTCTTTTCCTCTAAGTGATTAACTTTATCTCTGGATTCTTCTAGCAGAAATGTTAGCTCTTTCATTTTATTTTCTTTCTCAGTGCTTTGAAGCATCAGCAGCGATACCTAAAAAAAATGTTTTTAAATTATAGATATGAAAAGTTAAATATGGCATCTTAGCACTTATCATCAACTACTATCAGTTTACATGCTTTTCAGATTGCTGTTCTTGGCATATAATTAACAGGATTGCATAATAACCATGTATTGAGTGAATACACAAGCTAGTATTATATATCCAATATTATACTATGTCTTTCAAGTTATTACTGAGAACATTAACAAAGTTTATTCATTCAATAAATTTTGCTGAGCACCAAAAACTAAGTTCTGAGTATACAGAGATGAGGGAATTTACCTTCAAGAAACTCAGCATGTAGACTGGGAGACACACAACCCTACCAGAATAGCATTAGTAATTCGACAAAAATGTTATAGGATTAGGAAAGGAACACCTAAATCAGTCTTGGGGGAAATAAATAAAAGAAATAAGCTGTAATATACACATGCAACAACTCCAAAGACGACTGTAAACTGCATGAACTGCAAACATATACTAACAAAAAATAAAAATTTTTAAATTTTATCTTTTCTGTACTTTTCAATTTTTTAAAAATTATTGTCTAAGTACATATCCTTCTTAACTGTGATTACAAGATATCTTGTGGCAAATGAAAGGAAAAAAGTGTAATAATAGTGGGAAATAGAAGAAGATTCCTTTTTATATATCACGTTTTATTATGGAAACAGAAGGTTTGAACGCAATAAAGCTGCCATAATAATAATCTGAAACTAACATTCCTTTTTGCACTAGAAATAGAACCCTGGGGAACTTTAAGACTAAGCTATAGCCCCTTTCCATTTATTCTTTTGCTTTGAGAGGGGGTGTTGCTCAGTTTTCTAGGTGGGACCTGAAAATTCAATACTCCTGCCTCAGACTCCCAGAGGGCTAGAATCAGAGTGCTGCATCAGGTTGAAATTCACATTTCTACAAATGTTAAAAGATACTATCATTTTCAATCTTTCCATTATGTGATATTAAAAAACAAAGCAACAAATACTGCAATTTCCTTTCTTTGGTGTGTCATAGTACATTTCAAAACAAACTATTACTTTTGTCTGAACAAAATTTCTCATAAAATATAATCATTTTTACAGCAATAAAAAAAGATACAAATACTGTGGGCTGTTTACTGATTAAAAACCAAGCATTCAGTGTGTATATCTGAGAATTAATTTGGGTATGAAAATGCTGAGTATTTGAATGTAATATGAAAATGCTTTGAGAAACATGTCCTGCAGTCTACAAATACAAATTTCTTTTGAAATTTTAAGCATTTTATGAATTAGAAACAAAAAGAATATAGCATCATATATCTCATAATACAAGAATTTCAATGAATATACCAAAAAACCTTCATAAATTTAGATAATGAACAGGCTAACTGCTCTGCACTGATTACTGCCCAATGTGTACATGAATCAAAACATCACACTGTACCTCATAAATACATATAAATACGTGTTGATCAAAACTTTAAAAATTAACTTTTTAAAGAGAATATAAAGGGCTGTTTAAAAAAACCTGATTTTCCTTCTCATTTACTTCCTTCTTGTATTCTTCTTCAAGGTGCTGGATTTTTTCATTACCTTCCTTTACTTCAAAAATAAAAAAGATACCATGTCTTAACATAACTGTATAGTTTTTCAATACAAACAAAATTTAAAGACTATTTTACTTCTTTATTTACCTCAACACTATAACTGCTATATCCCTGCTAATTTTGTTTAGTGAAATAGTTACTTTAGTAATTTTGAAGTTATTACTTAAAATTCTATACTCCTTGGAATAGCACACATACAAAACTTCATTCTTTACAACACAATAATCTAAAATAAAAATGTTAGGTATATACATAATTATATTAACATGTATTGTACAAAGAAATACCAAAGACCAAATTATACATCTAAAAAATTAAATACAAACCACAGTAAGTTTGATGTCATGAAAAATGTAGCTCTAAAGCCAAAAATATTTTAATATATATTAATTCTTGGCCACATTTCACAAGATTTAGGAAGACCAAAGAAACAATGAGAATATGAAATAACTGAGGTCATCTAACTGAAAGGATAAAAACATTAACAAAACCTAATAAAAACTAAAATACCAAAGAGTAATATAAAAATTAAATGAGATTCCTACACTTAAAATACATTTCCAGTCTGGAATTCTCAGCTTGCACCCGAAGTTCCTCAAAAGCGATTATCATTTTCTGGAATATAGTTTAAGTTTGAAGAATCATTTTTAGGTTTTTGTAATTTTATAAGAATAGCTGAATATTCAAATTCCAGTCTTCAAAACACAGTACAAAACATGGTTACGAAAGAGTAGACATGATTTTCACATATTTATGCAATTTTACAATCTGTATCTAAGAAAATGGCACTACTACTTAGATTTTTAAGTACCTTTCTTCAAAGTTTCAAAACATTAATTTTAACATGTAATCAACTAGATATAAAAATGCCTAACTGTGAATAATGCAAACTATCATTTCAAACAAGTGATTTACTAAAAATGTATTAAGAATGCCCAGTGCTGGGCGTGGTGGTGCATGCCTGTAATCCCAGCACTTAGGAGGCTAAGGCAGGAGAGACTGCTGTGAGCTCAAGGCCAGCCTGAACTGCACAGCAAAACCCTGTCACAAAAAAAAGACAAAAAAAGCGCCTGCCTGGCAAGCACAAGGTCGTAGTTCGGTTTCCCGTTACTGAAAACAAACCAAAAAAAAAAAAAAAAAAAAAAAAAAAACGGCCAGCCTGAACTGCATAGCAAGACCCTAGTAAAATGACTGCTAGCATTTTGTGTAGTCACTTAGTAACATAATACTGTATGTAATTTTTCACTTATTTAAATTTTCTCTTCCTTACTAAAGTGATCTCTCTCCCTGTAAGAATCCAAACGTTTTCATTACCTGGTAGCCTCAATCCTACTTTGATGCTCAATTCTACTTTGTAAAATAAGATTCATTCATATATTCACTCATTATACATTTACTGAGTACTGGTTATATTTCAGGAACTATTTTAGGCACTCAGGATATAAAACAAAGTCTCTAACCTGATAGAACTGTTTTATATTAGTGTAAAAACACACAGATATGTGTCCACACATACAAGAAGTACGTATATGCATTAAATGTCAAGTAGTTTTCAATCTCTTCAGAAAAGCTAAATGGGGTGGAGATACAGAATAACTGAATAGAGACATTCAGATTAAAATAAGGTGAGGAAATAAAAAACAAGCTTATAAATGTACATAAGATTTTGGACATACAAATTATAGACAAAGGTAACAAATTTAAAGAACCAAGTTTAGAATGCTTAGCGAAACTGAGAAATATAAAAAGGAAAAGCGACTATAGCAGAAAAGCGAAGTGATGAATAATAGATGAGCTAACAAAGGTAAGCAGGAGCCAGATCAGATTAATACTTTATGTTCTGAAATTAACGTACTATAATGTAATAGAAGCAATTATTATTATGTCACGATAAGCTGGTCTCTGACATAGTAAACATTTGACAAATTAGTGGTATGAACATGTAAAGCAAAATCTTACTACTTAGCAAAATGTTAATACTCATAGCATAAAACTATGAATTTTATTGATTCATAATATCAACAAAAAGTAATGACCTTTTTAGCAAGAACAGTTGTCTACATCTTTGTAGCTATCAGTCTACTTTATTTAGGAATCCCTCGGTTTAAAATATTTAGATATTCACTAACACTTACCTCAATGCTATTATTTAAATCCATGTGAACTTGTCTGGTTTCTTCCCGTTCATGCTCATCTATTCAAAATTAAATTTAAAAAAAAAATAATGATTCTGACAAGACAAGACTCAAACTATCTCAGAAAAACATTAAAGTATTTTAAATTCTATGTTAATGAAGGGCATCTGGATACAATTAAGTTCTAAGCCTTTTGAAATAATATTAAAAGCAATTTTGGTACAATCTGGTACGTAAGCAGCTCAAAAGCTGCTACTCCATTCTAACAAGTAAAAAGCTGAACAAAGTTCAAAATTCTTCTTAGATCCAAAAGAGAAATAAGATCATAGAAAAAACTACTACCATCAAAATTAGAGCAAATCACAACTTATCAAGGTAGAAACCCAGGGGCAGAAAATATGGTGGGAATCATGGCCAGCATAAGAAAACTTGAACTGAAATGGATAAATAGCTACAAACAATGTGAAAAATCTCAGCGATAACTACTACTCGGGAACCCAGTCATGGGGGGTGGGCAATACTCTTGTGAGTTTTACCTCCTAAACCTCTATTATATTTCCACCATGACTGTCAGAGGAACATCCTCTCATGCTCTAAAGGGAGATGGGAAGGAACCATTCTGAAATATGCTAATACGTCCTGTTCTTTACAAGGTTTTCCCTTAGGAGAAACTGTTTAATCAGGGCAAAATCAGCTAGTTTTTATCAGAGCCTGACCTGGAGGAAGAGAGACAACCAATTCTAGCCAGCTCTATCCTTCCATATGGATGATGCAAAATACCCAACTACATCCCTGTCTAGCCTTTCTTTAGTAAAAAGAAAAGTACTTCAGCCCACTTTAGCCATCCTATCTCACTGAAAGGGAATAGAATACTAAGTATTTATGAAGTTCAAAGTTCACAGGCAACAGTTTGTTTAAAAAAAAAATGAGATGTAGCACACACTAATCCTAGCACTTGGGAGGCTGAGGCAGGAGGACTGCAATGAGTGTGAGGCCAGTCTGAACTACAAAGTGATTTCAAGGCCAGCCTGAACTACATAGCAAGACCCTTCTCAAAAAAACCAAAAAAGGGAAAAAAAACTTGAGATCTAATCATAGCTCAACAGAACAATTCACCTCTATTTACACCTTACTACCAACAGTACCAAAGATTTACTTACAGCAGTTCCTTTACTGGGTACATCACATCCAGCTATAGAGAAAAGTTACAGCTGGGGATACAGCTCAATGTTCAGCTAGCATGCACAAGGTCCTGAGTTCAATCACAGTACCACAAAAAAAGAAAAAGGAAGGAAACCATTTTTTAGGCCGGGCACTGTAATCCCAGCCCTCAGGAGGCTGATATAAGAGGATTGCTGTGAGTTCAAGCTCAGTCTGGGCTACAAAGTGAGTTCAAGGCCAGCCTGAACTACATAGTGAAACCCTATCTCAAAAAGATAAAAAAGGAAAAAAAAAAAAAAAGAGATAAACCATAATAAAAGGCAAAAATACAGTGTGCCAATACAGAACAAACATCAAAACAAGATTCAGATAGGACAGAAAAGTTGCAATTATTACATGAGGAATTTAAAAAATAACTTTGATTAATGCACTAAAGGGTCTAGTGCAGTGGGGGTGAACCTATGGCACACGTGCTGCAGGCAGGCTATTTATTATCACTGAAAACTCTAAAATGTCTCGAGAAACTCTAAAAAGTCTCACTGAAAACTCTAAAATCTAAAAACTCTAAAAGGTTCACCATTACTGCTCCTGAATAAAGTAAAATATCATGTAAGAACAGAATAAAGTAGATATCATGTAAGAATAAAGTAAATATATCATGAACAAAGTAGAATAAAGTAGATATCATGTAAGAACAGAATAATAAAGTAGATATCATGTATAAAGTAGATATTATGAATAAAGTAGATATCATGTAAGAACAGAAAGGCAGGAGCTAGGTGTGTATAATTCACAGTAGGGTGCTTGTCTACCGTGCACAAGACCCCAGGCTCAATATATAACTCGGCAAAGGGGTTGTGGGGAGGTAATGTAAGTCTATTAAGTTCAGCGTTAGGTCAAAAATTCTAAGAAGGATTTACAGATCAAAAACACAGAAACAGATATGAAAGGCTTACTATAAACAAGACAATGCTATGGAAAGTATTTCTGAGCTTGGAGATAAAACACTTCCAGAATAAAAACAAAAGACCAAAAAGACCAAAAAAGGAGCAGAATATCCTTGAACTGCAAGTCAGCTGTAAAAAGTGTAAAATATGCATAAATGCAAATACCAGAAAGAAAAGAGCAAGTAACAGAAGCAGTGTTTCAAACAATAACTGAGAATTTCCCAAAATTAACGTCACACATCTACCAACAGATGCTCTAAGAAACTCAGAAAACATTAAACAGGATAAACGCCAAAAAGAGGCATTTATCTTAAACACATTACCTTGAAGCTACAGAAAACCAAAGAAAAACAAGCTAGAGGGAAAAAGATTACAGAACACTACTTATAGAGAAATAAAGGTAAGAATAATACCTGACTTGGGGGCTGGGGATTTAGCTCAGCGGCAAAAGCGCTTGCCTGGCAAGCGCAAAGTCGTGAGTTTGGTTCCTGGTACCGGAGAAAAACCAAAAAAAAAAAAAAGAATAATACCTGACATTTTCTCAAAAACTGTGCAAGAGTGAAGTAATTCAAGAGTAAAAAACAAAAACCAAAATCCAGAATTCTCTACCTTGCAGAATTATCCTTCAAAAGTGAAGAGTATTTTCTTCTCTTTGAGAAAATTGAGAAAATTGAGAAAATTGGGGCTGAGGATGTGGCTCAGTGGTAGAGCTCTTACCTTGCATGCACAAGGCCCTGGCTTCATTCCTCAGCACCACAAAAACAAATAAAATGCAAGTCTAAGTGGACTTGTTTGTAACCAAGAAGCCTGATCAATAAAATTCCTTTCCAACATCACATTAAAAAAAAAAGAGAGGGGCTGGGGATTTAGCTCAGCGGCAAAAGCGCCTGCCTGGCAAGCGCAAGGTCGTGAGTTCGGTTCCCGGTACCGGAGAAAAACAAACAAAAAAAAAAAAACCAAATAAAAAAAAAGAGAAAATTTATTGCCTGTACACTGTCTTCCAAAAAATGTTAAAGTTCTTCAGAGGAAAAAAAAAAAATCATGCACGTAAGAAAAAAAAAGTACATGAAAAGTACATACTGCAAACATACTAATTTAAAATAGAAAAAAGTCTTAAAAGCAGTAAAATGGGTATGTCAAGAAATGAAAGAAAATGAAGTCACATGAAATGCTCAATTAAAACCACAACTGTAGGGCTGGGGATATAGCTCAGTGGCACAAACGCCTGTCTGGCAAGCGCAAGGTCCTGAGTTTGCTTCCCATTACAAAAAAAAAAAAAAAAAAAGTATCAAAACCACAACTGTGGTTGATACAGGCATGATAGTACACAGATATTCTACATTGTCACTCTCAGACCACAATGGAATTAAACTAGGAATCAGTAACTGAAAGCTAGCTGGAAAAATCACAAAATACCTGGCAATTAATCAACACACATCTAAGAAATAGATGCGTCAAGGAAAAAGTTTCAGGAGAAACTTTAAAATATTTTGAATTAAGTGAACTAAGTATACTGAATTAAATGAAAATACAATCTATCAAACTGTGTGCAACACACCACTACTTGGCTATAATCCCAGCTACTCTGGAGGCTGAAGCAAGAGGATCACAAGACAGAGGCCATTCAACTTAGTGAGACACTGTTTCAAAATAAAATTTTTAAAAAGGACTGGCAATGTGACTCAGTGTTCCCTGGTGTCAATCCTAGGACCAAAAAGAAGTGTGGGGTATCACCAAGAATGATAGCTTATGCCTGTTATCCCAGCAGCCTAGAGGTTGAGACAGAATTTCACTGTGAATTTGAGGCCATCCTGGGCTACATAAATGAGTTCTAAGCCAGGCTAAACTACAGAGAGAGACCCTGTTTCAGAAAAAAAAAAAAGTGTTGGATATAACAAAAACAGGAAAATTTATATGATTGCATGCATACATTTGAAAAGAATAAAGACCTAAAATCAATTATCTAAGTTTCAACGTTAGAAAAACTAGAAAAATAAGTCCAATGAAACCAGAAGAAAAACAATAGTAGATCAAGAGCCAAAAATCAGTGAAATTGCAAACAAGATCAAAACACAAAATCAATGAAACCAAAAGCTAGTTTTAAAAAATATCAGTAAAATCAATAAACCTCTAGCCACACTGAGAAAAAGAAAACTCAAAATATCAACAAAGAAATGAAAGAGACCATCACTGTATATTCCTTGAACATTAAAAGGGTTAACAGGCACAGTGACTCTGCCTGTAACCCCAGCACTCAGGGGGCCGAGGAAGGACACCATAAGTTCAAGGCCAGCCTGGGCTACTTAGTGAGACCCTGTCTCAGAAAAAAAAAAAAAAATAATAATAATAATAATATTATGAACAACTATGTTCAGAGATTTAATAATGTAAATGAAATTGTCAAAAGACAATTGCCAAAAAAAGCACAGAAGTACACATATACACACACATATATATGTCTATATCTGTTAAATAAACAATCGATTTCATCCTAAAACAAAAAGCACAAAGATTGATGGATTCACTGTGTGGGATTCTACGAATGCTTAAGGGAGAAATTATGCCAATACTCCACAATTTCTTTCATAAAATGAAATAGAATATATCCTAATTTATTCTATAATGCAGCATCACGCTAATGACAAAACCTTACACAGATATTGTAAGAAAATTGTATGCAAAAATCATCAGCAAAATATTAGCAAATCAAATTGAACAATGTATAAAAAGAACCAGGTACAGTGGCACTAAAGCAAAAAAAAATGTGCTCCCAGACAGGAGCTCCACCCCCTCACCCTTTAGCATCCCTCTTCCCAGCCTTCAATAGGCCTTTTATTCTCTGTTAAATTTCTGTTCCTCTCCCACCCCACTGATGTAACCTCTTGTCCCTGTCTCCCCTGTATGCAAAAAAGATGGAATCCAGTATAACTTTCTTGGCCAATCATGTAACC